AATTAAGTTTAAACTTTTAACCTTAACTTTTACTTTAACTTTACCTTTACTCTACTTACTACTTCTACTCTCTATCTCTCTCTCTCTCTCTCTATCTCTCTCTCTCTCTCTCTCTCTCTCTCTCTCTCTCTCTCTCTCTATATATATATATATATATATATATATATATATATATATATATAATATCAGGGGTTAATAATGACAAATTAACAGGGGTAGAAATTAACTTTTGAACAAGGAAGTCCAACGGAGTCCCTACCCTCAAAACGAGGGAGTCCACAGTCTGAAGTTCAAAGCCAAAGATTTTAACAATAGCGCGTGTGCTTATTTTGAACTTATTCATGCGGTTGCACGTCTGCCAAATTGTATTTGGACATAAAAATACGGCAATTCCGCGAGGCCGTGCTCTGGTACGAACTCGTTAGTATATCAGAATTTTCAGGGAGTCACACGGACTCCTGCATATGTCAAATCAGGGAGTATTTGACTCTGGACTCGCGTTAATTTCGCAGTTCGCACCCTGCTTAACGTGACAGCTGTGTTGCATTTTATGTTGCAGGTGTGTAAGTTTAAGGTGTTTGATCATGTTGAACCATTCATTCGAGTGAATGTTTCGATAAAACGATACCTAACTAATATCTAAGTGCTCACACGTTTACACATTGGTGTCCTGGTACTAATGTCCTGATTTGCATAGTACTTGCTACTTCTATATCGAATGTTACACATTATGGCAACCTCTAGGTTAAGTCAACATGGTCTTTTGTACATACACACTGGGAAGTGCAATTGCCTCTATCTAATCAGTTTGATACCTCTTATGTATATTGCATTTTGTCTCTATTGTGAGAGCATGTTACTATGTAAATTGGGAATGTTTAATCAGATGACTCTTAAACCACTCGGCCCCCCCAAAAAAATTTGTATGCCACGTTTTTAATTATGGGTATGTCGTGTGTTCATCGATCGGCGGGTCGTATCTTGATTTACGATTTTGCTAATTTGCTGTTTGCAGTTTTTCGTTGTCACTGATTGACACGCTGGATACCCTCATTGTTCTGGGAGACTTTGATGAGTTTGAGAGCGCCACTAAGCTAGTAATTCGTGATGTTACGTTTGAAACCGACGTTGTAGTGTCCGTCTTTGAGACCAACATTAGGGTGATGGGGTAAGTATCGCTGAGAGGGTCTATGTCCCCCAGGGTACTGTCGGAACGTACCCTGGTACTATCTAATATGCCGGACCGTACCTCGCCTACTCCACTAACGAGTCTAGGGAGTCGCCTACGCCTACGCCTACTCCCTAACCCTAACCCTAACTCTAACCATATCAGATAGTTACCAGGGTACGTTCCGGCAGTACCCTGGGGGACATAGACCCTATGAGCATAAGTATCATGATCCTCCTTTATCTTTCGTCCATCAAAAAATGGTATTTTGATTTCCTCCGTTCTAAAGTTTGGCTGTTTATAATTTAAAAAAATGTTCTCTATCTGCTATTTAATATCGTAGTGGGTGTATCCTAAATTCCTTAGCTCATAACTTGAGAATTAAATTGGCCTCTCTGAACCACCTCCTCAAGTCACAAGTGAATTTTTCTCGTTAAAAAACTGAGCTTACTATCTTAGTTTTAATAATGCTGTTTTGAATTTTTTTTAGTGCCTCTATAAATATCGTGGTTGCCGTTTTACGGGATACTATCTATTAAATGTTGGAAATAGATATTGAATCTGTTTTGCTTGATATGTGAAAGTCACTATTATATGATATTGTATTAAGAAAAGACATTTTCATATATTATTTATACTGCTTCCGGGTCTGCAATAATCTGTTGTAATTCGAGTTACCTACATGCCAAGACTGTCTATATATATATATATATATATATATATATTATTGTTACTCTATGCACATTTAGATTGACATGCCATGTACTTGTGGAAGATGAAATCCACGCAAATCCATCGAATTGCACACTATGATGTAAAAATCTGATCAATCAGTGCGACTGTGTTCCCTTGGGCCACGGTTACCACTTACCAGTGCTTACTTGGGCATGTACATAATTTCAATCTAGGCAAATTGCATTCATGGCTGCGAAGGAAGAACAAGATGCTCACACATGTCGACGACGGGACCATAACCTACTGTACTATTGTTTAGGGGCCTGATTAGCGGTCACGTGTTTGCTGCCATGCTGCGGGACACCAGGGGGCGCATGGTGTGGTACAGGGACGAGCTGCTTCTGCTTGCGAAGGATCTCGGATATAGACTACTGCCGGCCTTCAATACGACATCGGGCATGCCACTGCCAAGGGTAAATGTCAACAATGCCAGGAAAGGCACCCACTCACACGATTCTGAATGACCACGTGTGTAGTTAGTGATTAATTTCTGCAGCTTCTAAAATAGCAAATGTGTGTTTCCATGGTGACGGTTTATTTCATAACGCTTGCAATATTTCGACGCTAACAAGTGTCGCGAATGCGTCGGTTTTATGGAAGCACCTTGTTATGCTTGCCGGCAATAAAGTTCTATATGATGGCAGGCGTAAATCATGCCAGAGTGATGATATTTGATGTAGCTAGCATTCGCACGGTAGACAGACACCTAGTTATTCATGCCATGGCATTACAGTAACTGCTCAGTCCCTGCGAAGCTCTCTTTCTGTAGCGTACAGACGGGCAATTTAACTTGTGATATGTGCATTTACATTACTATCTACCAAAAGAGCTTAAAAATAGCAGAAGCGAAGTAATGCAGAGATTCTGTAACAAGCAAGAGGAATTGCTGTTTCGATACACATCACAGTGTGTGTGTGTGGGTATTTCTTTTTCAGGTGAATTTGAGGTACGGTCTGAAGGGCTTGCACAAGGTGGAGCACGAAACTTGCACTGCCTGCGCTGGGACCATGGTGCTGGAATTTGCAGCCCTGAGTAGACTCACAGGTGATGTATAGCTGTCAGAAACTGTAGTTGATGCCTTGGCTTCGAGTACTCGGGAGACGTGCCGGCTGAAATTTGTGTACGTTTATAGAGTCTTGTAATTCACTCAGAGGATTTTAAGAGTGAATAACATCGGCCATCTATTATTAATGTGGCCGTTAAAGGTTTTGAATGTCTGTAAGTTTACAGCGATGCGAGTTGATGTCAGTCGTAATGCTTACATGGCATTTATCCCCTTGTTGGTTTTACGAACGCATGGCATGTGGTGATTTCCTAGTTTGGGACCAGAGTTGACATTTGTGATGCAGCAGAAGAGGCTGAAAATAAATGACAATCATAAGTAAACGTGCAAGACAAAGCAGTGACTTCTTATCTGAGTATATGAATTCCACCAGCATTTATTGATTGATCACTATGGCAATCCAGGCCGCACGTGATGCATTGCTGTATGATATTATGAATATAAATGACCTAGTAACTCGATCAGCAAATTTGTTAATAATACTAGTCTGTCGCGATGTATAATTAATAAGACGTATTGCTTGATGCGTAGAATGGATAGAAACTGCATCCCAGGACAGAAGGTTAAATCTCGTTATGTGTAACTGTGGTTAGACTTAATTGCTATAAAGATGTGGTTAACGAGTCTACCTGTCTACGTGGCGAGTGATATGTGAATTGTAGGCGGGAGAGCTATAATACAAGCTAATGACGTGGTAAACTTGTCTGTTAGCATGTGACTAGCACACCTGTGGCTTGGTAAATTATGCGTGTGGGTGGGCAGCATCAATAACAACTGTCGTGGAGGCGACAGCATCTGCTGTGGGGCTGTTAATATTGTGTGGGGCTGTTAATATTGTCTGGGGCTGTTAATATTGTCTGGGGCTGTTAATATTGTGTGAGGCTGTTAATATTGTGCGGCACTGTTAGTGTTAGTATTGTACGGGGCTGTTAATATTGTGTGGGGCTGTTAATATTGTGTGGGGCTGTTAATATTGTCTGGGGCTGTTAATATTGTCAGGTGCTGTTAATATTGTGTGAGGCTGTTAATATTGTGCGGCACTGTTAGTGTTAGTATTGTACGGGGCTGTTAATATTGTGTGGGGCTGTTAATATTGTGTTGGGCTGTTAATATTGTCTGGGGCTGTTAATATTGTGCGGGGCTGTTAATATTGTCTGGGGCTGTTAATATTGTCTGGGGCTGTTAATATTGTCTGGGGCTGTTAATATTGTCTGGGGCTGTTAATATTGTCTGGGGCTGTTAATATTGTCTGGGGCTGTGAAACTGAAGCCACACATCGGGCTGTTAGTGCCGCCGCCGCCGCTGCAACTGCTGAGCTGCTCTAGTAATAGCCATTACTTGGCGAGATGAACACGGATGGGGAGAGATGCGGCTCAGCTAGGTGCCTCGTTGTGCGGATTCTCCGCTTATGCCGTGCACTCGCGACGCCGGTATAAATGCGTTCCGCGGGAGCGACCGGCTATTAAATATTGACGTGGGATGAGGTCGACGGCGCTGTCTTGTCGGCACGGAATTCTAATCGCGTGGCTCCATCTTAGCGGGAATTGCGGCCTGCGTTGTGACGAATTTTGCGGATGGCAGTTTCTCGACGCAGGGAAAACTATTCGATGAAAATTGCGACCGTGCCCGGCTTAGGCTGTCGCATTCCGCTAACGCCGGCTCTTAAAAACATGGCCGTGGCTGGAGGTACGGCAGCTGTATCCACGATTTACGAGGCTGGAGGTACGGGAGTCCATTCGCTTTCATACTTAACGAGACAAAGATGACAGCGGATGGCAGCAGATTTCGAAATAATGCCTTGGAAAATAAATTCACGATTTGAGAGTTAGGAATGGTATTAAAATGAACATTATTGTAAACTTTACATCAGAAGATCGCAAATAATTGCCTCAGCCCTCAAACAAATGCCAAAAAGGGGCTTGAACGGACGACGGCCGCCGTACCTCCAGCCACTTCGTAAAAACATCCACTATAAAATTCCCAAGTAAGGGTCGCGCGACCGTCGGCGAGGAAATTCCGTTCTCGCACGCGCTCGGCTTTTCTCCGCTTCGTGTCTGTGCTCGTTGCCGTGTCTCGTGATTACGTCTAATATTATGATACAATAATATTAGTATGATGTTATCAGAAGTAGATAATAGGGAATGTTTCCTATTATCTACTTCTGATGTTATGATGAGTCTATAACCCCGATCTCTGATTGTCTGCCGTTTGCAGGAGAGCCGATATTCGAGGAGAAGGCGCATCGAGCGATGGAGTTTCTCTGGCAGGCGCGGCATCGGACCAGCCACCTCATGGGCACCGTGCTCAACGTGCACAATGGCGAGTGGGTGCGACGAGGTGAGCGTCAACTTTATTAATGGCTTAAGCGGGAGCCACACCATGCAAATCTATTTGCACGTCCACAGCGAAATTCGCATGGTGTGTCCACTCAAGCGCGGGCGAATTTCACTGCGAATTTCATCCGCACCGAAACTCGGAGCGATCAAACATGTTTGATATTTATGCTGCGGACGTGCGAATAAATTCGCATGGTGTGTCCCATATAAAATCGCAGCGAAATTCGCAAGGTGTGTCCGCTCAAGCGCGGGCGAATTTCGCTGCGAATTTCATCCGCACCGAAACTCGCAGCGATCAAACATGTTTGATATATTCGCTGCGGACGTGCGAATAAATTCGCATTGTGTGTCCCAGGCTTTACTCTGCGCTTGTTTACTCGCGTTTCCTTGATAGTCGCAGCATTTACGCGAGAGTTCGACATTTCCGTGAGAGTTCGCGGCAAACGATGGCGGCCGGCGGGGTGGGGGGGGGAGGACGAATCTCGACGAGCCGCGCGATTTCGAACGTCAATAACATTATCGTTAAGTCACTGCGGCGGGTTTTCTCGCGCCGTATTTACTCTCGCAGTGGGTATTGCAGGCGGCGTGGCACGCTTGCTCGCCTGCGTGCGTGCGTGCCTATGCAGACAAGCACGTATTTGGGTGCTAGCGTGTGGTTGCTGCTCACGACACATGCCGTTGCTCAGCCGCGGCGTGCGATATAGCACTGGCGATTGTTCCAATCAATTGCCTTTCATGAAGCGCGCGAAATTGATTTAATTGCTATGTGTCAAGTGTTAAAGCTGTAGCATGTCCAGATTTAGATGGAAATCTAGCGGTGGTGTGACAGTGAAATCTGGTCATCACTAGCTTCGATGCTGACATGTAACTAAGCTGTAAGCCGAATGGATGAATGCGGCAAAGGGCCTAGTGCGATCTACGTAGATGTCTTGTGTCAGCCCATGCTGTAAGTCGGGATATGCGTACTTCATTTGGCAATATTCTACTCTAAATTTGAATTTATAATGTTGCTATCATGTGCCGTGCTCCTACTCTCTACGTGTACTGAACATTTAAATTGTAATTATGCAAAATATCTTACACACAGCCATAGACGCACGTGAGTGCATGTGACATAGCTCTTCGTGTGCAGCCGTTTGCCCCACCACAGACCTCACACTTGCTCTGCTTGTGTAACAACCCTTTACTCTGACACTAGCTCTACCTGTGTAACTCTTTACTCTGCCACAGACCTCACACTTGCTCTGCTTGTGTAATCCTTTACTCTGCCACAGATCTGACACTAGCTCTACCTGTGTAACCCTTTACTCTGCCACAGATCTGACACTAGCTCTACCTGTGTAACCCTTTACTCTGCCACAGATCTGACACTAGCTCTACCTGTGTAACTCTTTACCTCTGGGCCACTAGTCACCTGTGTAAGCCCTTTAGCTCTGACACTAGCTCTACTTGTGTAACCCTTTACTCTGCCACAGAGCTGACACTGGCTCTACCTGTGTAACCCTTTACTCTGCCACTAGCTCAGCCTCTTTAAGCCTTTAACTCTGACATCGCTTGTAACCCTTTACTCTGGGCACATGATGTGACCTACTAGCTCTACCTGTGTAACCTTTACTCTGACACTACTCTTACCTGTGTAAGCCCTTTACATCTGACACTAGCTATCTGCCTATATCTCTGTGTAACCCTTTACTCTGCACACAGATCTGACATCTAGCTCTACCTGTGTAACCCTTTACTCTGCCATCAGATGCTGACAGCTAGCTCTACCTGTGTAACGCCTTTACTCTGCCACAGATCTGACACTGGCTCTACCTGTGTAACCCTTTACTCTGCCACTAGCTCTACGTGTGTAATCCTTTACTCTGCCACAGATCGTACATTAGCTCTACCTGTGTAACCCTTTACTCTGCCACAGATCTGACACTAGTTCTACCTGTGTAACCCTTTTACTCTGCCCAGATCTGACACTAGCTCTACTGTGTAACCCTTCACTCTGCCACAGGTCTGACACTAGTTACCTGTGTAACCTTCACTCTGCACAGATCTGACACTAGCTCTACCTGTGTAACTTTACTCTGGGGCCACAGATCTGACACTAGCTCTACCTGTGTAACCCTTTACTCTGCAGCAGATCTGACACTAAGCCTCCTACCTGTGTAACTCCTTACCTGCGAGACACTAGCTCTACCTGTGTAACCCTTTACTCTGACACTAGCTCTACTTGTGTAACCCTTTACTCTGCCACAGATCTGACACTGGCTCTACCTGTGTAACCTTTACTCTGGCAGCTACTGCTACGTGTGTAATCGCTTTACTCTGCCAGCAGATCGTAGCATTAGCTCTACCTGTGTAATCCTTTAACTCTGCCACAGATCTGATACTAGTTTCTACCTGTGTAACCCTTTACTCTGCCGGCAAGAATCTGACACTAAGCGTCTACCTGTGTAACCCTTTACTCTGGCCGCAGCAGTCTGACACTAGCTCTACCTGTGTAACCTTTACTCTGCACCGATCTGACACTAGCTCTACCTGTGTAACCTTTACTCTGCCACAGATCTGACACTAGCTCTACTGTGGTAACCCTTTACTCTGCCACAGATCTGACACTAGCTCTACTGTGTAACCCTTTACTCTGCCACAGATCTGACACTAGCTCTCCCTGTGTAACCCTTTACTCTGCCACAGATCTGACACTAGCTCTAACCTGTGTAACCCTTTACTACTGCCACAGATCTGACACTAGCTCTACCTGTGTAACCGCTTTACTTGCCACAGATCTGACACTAGCTCTACCTGTGTAACTCTTTACTCTGGCCACAGATCTTGACACTAGCTCTCCCTGTGTACCGCTTTACTCTGCCACAGATCTGACACTAGCTCTACCTGTGTAACCTTCACTCTGGCCAACAGATTGACACTAGCTCTACCTGTGTAACCCTTTACTCTGCCCAAGATCTGACACTAGCTCTACCTGTGTAACTCTTATACTCTGGCCACAGATCTGACACTAGCTCTACCTGTGTAACCCTTTATCTGCCCAGATCTGGACACTAGCTCTACTGTGTAACTTTACTCTGCCACAGATCTGACCTAGCTCTACTGTGTAACCTTTACTATGACACTAGCTGTACCTGTGTAACCCCTTTACTCTGCCACAGATCTGACACTAGTTCTACCCGTGTAACCCTTTACTCTGCCACAGATCTGACACTAGTTCTATCACACCGTGTAACCCTTTACTCTGCAGCAGATCTGAACACTGGCTCTACCTGTGTAACCCTTACTCTGCCACTAGCTCTACGTGTGTAATCCTTTACTCTGCCACAGATCGTACATTAGCTCTACCTGTGTAACCCTTTACTCTGCCACAGATCTGACACTAGTTCTACCTGTGTAACCCTTTACTCTGCACAGATCTGACACTAGCTGCTACCTGTGTAACCCTTCACTCTGCCACAGGTCTGACACTAGGCTCTACCTATGTGTAACCGCTTCACCTGCCAGCAGATCTGACACTAGCTCTACCTGTGTAACGCCTTTTACTTCTGCCACAGATCTGACACTACTCTACCTGTGTACCCTTATCTGCCACATATCTGACACTAGCTCTACCTGTGTAACCCTTTACTCTGACACTAGCTCTACCTGTGTAACCCTTTACTCTGACACTAGCTCTACTTGTGTAACCCTTTACTCTGCCACAGATCTGACACTGGCTCTACCTGTGTAACCCTTTACTCTGCCACTAGCTCTAACGTGTGTAATCCCTTTACTCTGGCCACAGATCGTACATTTAGCTCTACCTGTGTAATCCTTTACTCTGCCACAGATCTGAATAACTAGTTCTACCTGTGTAACCCTTTACTCTGCCGAGATCTGACACTAGCCTACCTGTGGTAACCCTTTTACTCTGGCCGCAGATCTGACACTAGCTCTACCTGTGTAAGCCTTTACTCTGCACGATCTGACACTAGCTCTACCTGTGTAACCCTTTACTCTGCCACAGATCTGACACTAGCTCTACCTGTGTAACCCTTTACTCTGCCACAGATCTGACACTAGCTCTACCTGTGTAACCCTTTACTCTGCCCAGATGCTGACACTAGCTCTCCGCTGTGTAACCTTTACTCTGCCACAGATCTGACACTAGCTCTACCTGTGTAACGCCTTTACTCTGCCACAGATCTGACACATAGCTCTACCTGTGTAACCCTTTACTCTGCACAGATCTGACACTAGCTCTACCCTGTGTAACTCTTACTCTGCACAGATCTGACACTAGTCTCCTGTGTAACCGCTTTACTCTGCCAACAGATCTGAACACTAGCTCTACCTGTGTACCGCTTCACTCTGCCACAAGATCTGACACTAGCTCTACCTGTGTAACCTTTAGTCTGGGCCACCACGATTTCCCCCCTTTGACACTAGCTCTACCTGTGTAACCTTTACTCTGCCACAGATCTGACACTAGCCTACCTGTGTAACCCTTTAACTCTGCCACAGATCTGACACTAAGCTCTACCTGTGTAACCCTTTACTCTGCCACAGATCTGACACTAGCTCTATCTGTGTAACCCTTTACTATGACACTAGCTGTACCTGTGTAACCCTTTACTCTGCCACAGATCTGACACTAGTTCTACCCGTGTAACCCTTTACTCTGCCACAGATCTGACACTAGTTCTACCCGTGTAACCCTTTACTCTGGCCAACAGATCTGACACTAGCTCTACCTGTGTAAACCTTTACTCTGCCACAGATCTGACACTAGCTCTCCCTGTGTAACCTTTACTCTGCACAGAATCTGACACCTAGCTCTACCTGTGTAACCCTTTATCTGCCCACAGATCTGACACTAGCTCTACCTGTGTAACCCTTTACTCCTGCCACAGATCTGACACTAGCTCTCCCTGTGTAAACCCTTTACTCTGCCACAGATCTGACACTAGCTTCTACTCTGTGTAACCTTTACTCTGCACAGATCTGACACCTAGCTCT